GGTCTCAAACTCCTGGCCTCAAGCAATCCTCCCACCTCAGCCTCCCAAAGTGCTGGGATGATAGGTGTGAACTACCACACCAGGCTGAGAACTTACAAATGTAAAAGCTCTCAAAACACGGCTTCTCTGACAGATTCCTTTTAAACTAAAGCTCAGTGTTACTCGCCATGGGGCCTATAAACTGTCACATTTAAGATCTTAGCTTTGAACTGGATCTCTTCCCTCTAATTTCATCAGAGAAACCCTTATTCAACAAACACGGAGCAGCTCTTACTCTGTGCCAGACCCTGGGTTAGCCACTGGCACATAATAAAGCTTATACTTCTACGGCCTGGACATGCAGTAGGATATTTCAGGAAAGAGGTTATTCTAAAAACCACAAGGGACATGTAATAGTTCTTACAGCTGAACAATTTTACTCTGCCACTATTCTACCAGAATACTGAGTGAGCAAACTCTCGTGTTTAGATCTTCCTAGGGTGGGTTATGGAGCTCATATCTCTAAGGCAGGGTCTTTGATAGAATGCAGGAAGTCTGTGAATTCGGATGTAAAACATTCTATCTTTATTTTCACTTCAGTTATGAACATAATCTATAGCAGTAATGGCAACTTATTAGACAAATGGATTAGTCACCAACAGAAATCGTGAGCATTTTCATATCATATTATACTTGTTACAAATACTTTAAAAGGCTGCTTTTGTTTTGAAAACTATATGTCAATATAATCCAATATAACAGGTTTTCTTTATAGCTCTATGTATTTTATTTTTGCATATAAAAACATATTCCAAAAAGGAACTCTAAAAGATTTCATCACACTGCCAAAGGAGTCCATAACGCAAAAAAGATTAAGATTCCTGTTCCACAGCCAAAAAATAAACAAACATAATCACAGTTAGGGTAATTATCTGTATGTTAAAAAACTACCTGTTTTTTTATGAAAGGTCATATGCTCATTTTCTATAGAGCAAAGACCATATGTCATTATTTTCAGCAGCCTTCACTTCCAAACTTGTTTGCAAGTAGTTGTGAATGTGATGTAACAGCCTAGCAGATTCGTGGGCTCCCCTGGCTCATTGGCAGTCATCCTTCTCCAAACACAGAAAGCCTCAAACTAATATAACTTTCAACTTGTGGTACAAGAGAATTCCCAAAAGAAAGGTGGGGCCAGGCGCCGTGGCTCACGCCTGTAATCCCAACACTCTGGGAGGTCGAGGCAGGTGGATCACTTGAGGTCTGGAGTTTGAGACCAGCTTGGCCAACATGGTGAAACCCCAACTCTACTAAAATACAAAAATTAGCTGGGCGTGGTGGTGCCGCCTGTAATCCCAGCTACTCGGGAGGCTGAGGCAGGAGAATTGCTTGAACCCAGGAGGTGGAGGTTGCAGTGAGCTGAGATTGTGCCACTTCACTCTAGCCTGGACAACAGATAAGACTCTGGCTCAAAAAAAAAAGGAGGGGAGAAAGACACATACACACAGAAAGCCCGCTATTAATATATGTCTACTAACCTGGTTTATGAATGGTAAAATAGAAACAAATTCAATTATTTACATTAATGAATAAGGTTTGTAAACAAACCAAAAAGAATGCCAAATATGAGACTCAGTTTCATTTTATCTTCTAAGATGGAGCTTCGGCACATACTGCAAACATTCCCTGAATTTACTGGCTGAATTGTAGAAAGGAATTAAGATTTAAATTTTCCCCCAAATAATCCATAAAGCAATTAACAAAAAAAAATCATGTATGAAACACGGGTCCAGGTACTCATTTGACAGGAATACTGTGAAAAGAGAAGTTTAGGACTAAAAACAGAAAGGGTTACGCTTAGGAGAGGGGTTGAAGGACGTAGGGAAAAGGAGATGTCGGAAATCACCAAGTGGATGAGCAAGAGGGCTGCCGAGCCTGGAGTCCTGACCCTCCCTCTGCCTTTCCTAAGTCACCCCTTTTTCTCTTTCCTTTTCTTTCTCTCTTACTTTCCTTTTTTTTTTTTTTGAGACAGAGTTTCCCTTTTGTTGCCAGGATGGAGTGCAATGGCATGATCTCGGCTCACTGCAACCTCCACCTCCTGGGTTCAAGCGATTTTCCTGCCTTAGCCTCCTGAGTAGCTGGGATTACAGGCGTGCACCACCACGCCCGGCTGATTTTGTATTTTTATTAGAAACAGGGTTTCTCCACGTTGGTCAGGCTGGTCTTGAACTCCCAACCTCAGGTGATCCGCCCGCCTCAGCCTCCCGAAGTGCTGGGATTACAGGCATGAGCCACCGCACCCAGCCCCCGTTTTTCTAATATGCTTGATGTGTGATAATGTAAAGGTGTAGAAGAAGCCAGCCACAATCTTAAGCAAAAAAAGGATTCTCACAGTCCTGAGATAATTGGCAAGTGCTCTTACTTTAGGGTTTCTGTAACTGGAAAAAAATCCAAGAAAAAAATGACTTTTAGAAAAATGTATTCTTTCCAATCTATTTCAAGGTAACACAAACTTTGATGTAAGAGAGACCTATTTCTGCTTAAGAAAGGCAAGTTTCTATTAGAAAAGTCAGAAGGTCTGGCTTCAGATCAAAGTTATGGAAATACTGAGAAAGAAAAGCATGATGCTTGAGTATGAAAACTACTATTATTAACAGATATTTTACTACTATCCATCATCAATAACAATGGAAAATTATCCTTGCTTTTTAGTTGAGCATTTCAAAAACTAAATCTCATCAGTTCTCCTAACATCTCTAGGAGAGGTGATTCAGACCCCTAGGAAAATACTGTCTAACCTAAAGGCCAGACAGCTCTGAATTATAAATGGAGTCAGATGGTTTACAAACTCTAGGAAATTATACAAAAGGTGGTGAGTTCACGTACATTTCAGATTATTAAGGGGGTGTTTAATTATAAGAACAGTTACCTCGGCCATGGTTAGAAAATCTGAAGGAAGAGAAAGCAATAATGCTTTCCATACATAGTCACAGAGCGAGTCCACGTTAGCACGCGACAGTAACCAGGGACTGCTAAAGCCAGGGCTCTATCTAACTAGATCATTCTTCTTAAGGGATCATATATCCAAAAAGCAGGTCCCCAAGAAAAATAAAACCCCACCTGTGTATGGGAGGAGAATCACAGACTGAGGGGGAATGAAGCTCATTCTTTATCAACCAGGCCATCATTCTAGTTTTGAAAGGGAATTTTCAAGGCAAATCTTTTGTCCTACAAAAAGATTCATTTCATTCAGCAAAGAAGAAAGACCCCAGAGGGAGTACGTGCTGCAGAATACCAAGCGTCTTCTATCGCCTGTTACCTTGAAGCATATATTCCGTTCTAGAAGAAATCCTTGGGCAGTTCCTTTTAGTTATGTAGACTGTAAATCAAGTAAACATCTAGTGTGCTAGAAAAAGGTGTAACTGGTTAAATTTTTTAGCCAGAAATAAAGGCTATTCCCTACCATTCTCAGCTCTTCAGGAACCTATATGAACTCTATTTCTCTATTACAGAGTGTATGGGAGCAGGAGTGGTTGTCAGATTAATACAGTGTCTGATAAGTTAAAATAACCTCATACTTGTCCTATTATCTTTTCAAAGAGCACTGGGTCGCACAATCAATAGCACCTTCTAAAAAGGGCTGTAAGGCCAGGTGCAGCGGCTCACGCCTGTAATCCCAGCACTTTAGGAGCCTGAGGCGGGTGGATCACCTGAGGTCGGCAGTTCGAGACCAGCCTGCCCAACGTGGTGAAACCCTGTCTCTACTAAAATACAAAATTAGCTGGGCATGGTGGTGCATGCGTGTAGTCCCAGCTATTCAGGAGGCTGAGGTGGGAGAATCCCTTTGAACCCAGGAGGCAGAGGTTGCAGGGAGCTGAGATTGCGCCACTGCACTCCAGCCTCGTCAACAGTGTGACACTCTGTCTCAAAAATAAGAAATAAAATGAAAAGGGCTTAAGAGAAAGAAGTAGCAACATTCACTTTAGTTCCACCTGCATCACTAACGGCCCTAAAGAAAGGGAACGTGCAGGAAGTAAAATCAGTGCTGAAACTTCACTTCGGTTTCCCACAGTGTGGCATCATTCCCGGTATGCCTGTGCTGGCCTCCGGTGCACACATCACTGAATCCGATGGCTAAGTACACCGAAGTCTCTCGCATGTGGCATTCCAATCACCATTATCGGCACCGCGCCTGCCATCGTTTTGTCCACCCTTCTTTCTCGTCATGGTCGTCATTTGTTTATTACTGCACCAAATCCCATTCTCAGCATCTTTTTACTACCAATTCTGTACTTGCAGAATCACTGAATATCAGGACTGAACAGGCTCTGGAGGTCGTATCTTCCTTCCTTCTTCCATTTTCTTGTTGGCACAGTATTTTCTGCCTCTGTCTTGAGTTTCCTTCCCAACCCTTGTTCCTACTCTCAAAGCTTGCCATTCCTCATTAGCAGTTTCTCATACCCACACACCCCTAAATCCTCACTGCCTCTATAAATATCACTGTTCCCTTTTTTTCTTTTTCTTTTTCTTTTTTTTTTGAGACAGAGTCTCCCTCTGTCACTCAGGCTGGAGTGCAGTGGCGCCATCTTGGATCACTGCCACCTCCGCCTCCTGGGTTCAAGCAATCCTCCCACCTCAGCCTCCCAAGTAGCTGGGATTACAGGCATGAGCCGCCACACCCGCCTAATGTCCCTGTTTCAACATAATTTCTGGTTCTCCCAACTGAGAAGCCGAGTTTCAGCTCTCGTAGCGAGTCACTTTCGTTACGCTCAGGAAGCCTTCTCCAGGTAAGCCGATCTAACACCGCCTGTTCCCAGGCGCACCTTTGTGATTCCAGACAGTTCCCTATTCACAGGACCTTTACATTTCAGAACCAAAAGAAAACTCAGAAATATTCTGGTCTCATGTTTTTCCAAATTTTTAAGGTACGCTTCGCTTCTTACACTTTGAGATGTACAAAATCCATTTTACATCACAATGTCATGCACACGTAACTGCAGCAAACCACGTGACACAATACTTACCCTCACTACGTAAACACACCGACCATTTCGATCCTATTCCACTTTTTGGAAGACAGGTGCGGGCTCCATCCACGAAACTGGCTTCACAGCCCAGTACTAGGAAGAAACCCACAGTCTGGGACACGTTAAACTAGTCCACACGTCCCATTCGCCGACGAAGAAACGGCAACTCAGTGGTGGGGTCTGTCCCTAAACATTAAGCTGAGGCCCGCCTGCCAGGCTCCAGACCGTGTTCCCTCCAGGAGAGCCCTCCGCGCGGCCACAGCCGGTCACACCCGCGCCCCGACCCTGCAGTACCATCCGACTCCTCGGCGAGTCAGCCCCTGGCGGGGTCCCCGGGGCCGCGGCTCACGTCCCCGCAGGGCAGGGTCCCTCACAGTCGCTACCCATCGATCGGAGTCTCCCTGGAGTCACCGCCTCGCATTTCCTCGGCCCGAGCGCTCTCCGAGCCCAGGGTGTTCCGCCCTCGCCGCTCCCGGGTCACAGTCCCCTCGCTGTCACCGGCCCTCGGTCACAGTAGCCTCGCAGCCCCTGCCTCACGCTGCCCCCGCTGTCACTTACCGCTCTTCCTCAGTCGCCGTCGCCTCGCGGTCCCAGCCCCGCAGTCTGTCCTCTCGAACCCACACGCAGGGACGTGCACACACCTGCAGCTCACGCTCCCCCAGCCCGGTCCGCTCTCACGGACGAGGGAAGTTGAGGAGGTTGCGGGGAGACGCCCGGAGAAGGCAGCTGACGGAAGAGCCAGCCGGAAGTCCCGCCTACCGCCCCCACCCCTGTCAATCCGACCACGACGTCTCCGTGAAAACCACGACTCCTGACAAAGTAGTTCCGCCTCCTCAGAGGCCCCGGGGCTGAAGTGACCAGACGGAGACGCCCGAGACCGGAGACGGAATGACCCAGGTCCGTCTCCACCCGGAACCGGAGGATTCAGCCAAGACGCTCCTTGCAGTGGGATACGGATGTGACTGGCACAAGGCTCGCTGGTCGGTCCCGACGCGCCGCCCGGCAGCCCCCTGCGGCCCACTCGGGCCGCGTCCTCCCGCTGCACCGCCGCCAGGAGGCCCCCGACCGCGCCCGCCTCTCCGCGGCGCCGGCTTCGACCTACGTGGGGATGGAAGGGGAATTGACGACCGGCCAGCCCAGTCCGCCGGAAACCTGTGGCTGACCCGGTCCTCCTACTTCTGACCCAGGCTGGCTCAACAAAGAAACGATCCCTGCGGACCCGCCGAGAGCTGCCTGAGCAGCAGCGGGTTCACGGGACCAGCAGGAAGGCTCGTGCCGCCGCTGTGTGGCGGGAAGAAACGTTTTCCTTTCTGAGAATGAGCTTTCGGAAGGGTCCCTTTTAATTCCGTACATGTAAATGGCTACACAGTTATGGAAGAACGATGTAAAAAAAAAACTTTTTAAATTTGTAGTTGTCAACTTGACTGAAGTAAAAGACCTTTTTAATTTATTTACTCTTTTATTTCTATCTTTTTGAAGACGGAGTCTTGCTCTGATGCTCAGGCTGGAGTGCAATGGTGCAGTCTCTGCTCACTGCAGCCTCCGCCTCCCAGGTTCAAGAGGTTCTCGTGCCTCAGCGTCCCGAGTAGCTGGAATCACAGGCGTGCACCAACACACCCGGCTAATTTTTGAATTTTTAGTAGAGTTGCACTATGTTGGTCATCAGGCTGGTCTCGAACTCCTGACCTCAAGTAATCTGCCCACTTCGGCCTCCCAAAGTGTTGGAATTACAGGCGTGAGCCACCGCGCCCTGCCACAATTTTTTTTTCTTCTTTTTTTTCTACTCTCAAACGGTGAAAATGTATGCGAAGCACCAGGGTGATTGGCTGTGGAGAGATACTCCAAATACCTAGCCCAGATCATCCTCTCTGGGCAGGTGACACAGGAATAAAGGATTTCATTTGCTGAGCATGGTGGCCCACACCTATAATCCTAGCACTTTTTGGGAGACTGAGGCGGGGGGGATCACTTGAGCCCAGGAGTTCAAGACCAGCCTGGGCAACATCAGGAAACCTTGTCTCGATAAAAGATACAATTGGGGCCGGGCGCGGTGGCTCAAGCCTGTAATCCCAGCTCTTTGGGAGGCCGAGGCGGGTGGATCACGAGGTCAAGAGATCGAGACCATCCTGGTCAACATGGTGAAACCCCGTCTCTACCAAAAATACAAAAAATTAGCTGGGCATGGTGGCGCTTGCCTGTAATCCCAGCTGCTCAGGAGGCTGAGGCAGGAGAACTGCCTGAACCCAGGAGGCAGAGGTTGCGGTGAGCCAAGAACGCGCCATTGCACTCCAGCCTGGGTAAGAAGAGTGACACTCTGTCTCAAAAAAAAAAAAAAAAAAAAAAAGAGATACAATTAGGCCGAGCACAGTGGCTCACGCCTGTAATCTCAGCACTTTGGGAGGCCAGGTGGCTGGTGGATCACCTGAGGTCAAGAGTTCAAGACCAGCCTGACCAACATGGTAAAACCCCTTCTCTACTAAAAATACAAAAATCAGCCAGACGTGGTGGTGCTCACCTGTAGTCCCACCTACTCAGGAGGCAGAGGCAGAAGAATTGCTTGAACCCAGGAGATGGAGGTTGCAGTGAGCTGAGATTGTGCCACTGCACTCCATCCTGGGCAACAGAGTGAGATTCCATCAAAAAAAAAAAACCATAGTATAACAAAAAACATTAAAAAAAATGAGGCCTAAAACCCAACAGATTCTGTTGTCAAACTACTAACATCTTTATTTCATCAAGATATTTAACAATATTAAAAAGATCAGGTTTCTTCATGGTCACATCTTTTCCCAGATTTTCAAAAATCTATTCAGTAGTAGAAACAGCCAAATGCTGCTACAACGCAGAATAAACTGTCCTAAAAAACAAAACACACACACACACAGTTAGTACTGAAGAGGAGTAAGACCAGCACGGGCAATTGAAACCAACACTATCTCAGATCTTTACCAATTTTCTTTTTTCAGACAGGCTGGGGTACAGCGGTGTGATCTCGGCTCACTGCAGCCTCAACATCCTGGGCTCAAACAATCCTCCCACCTCTGCCTCCAGAGTAGCTAGGACCACAGCTGCATGCCACCACAGCAGGCTAATTTTGTTTTTTGCAAAGATGAGGTCTCACTATGTTGCCCAGGCTGGTCTTGAACTCCTGAACTCAAGCAATCCACCCATCTTGGTCTCCCAAAGTGCTGGCATCACAGGCATGAGCCACCTTACCCAGCCACCAATTTTCAGTCATGAAGACTTTTTCCTCCTTCATGAAGTGAAGGGTTTCTAGAGTCTAGCTATACTATTGCTTGATAAAAGGTTAGGATCGGTAAAGAATGAGATGTTCTGAATGCAGAAATAAAATGCGAACTAATGAACTTTACGTAATACATATTCATTCCTAAAATAACTATTCACATATTTCCTGATTTATCACAGAAAGAATGTATGGAATGTTTGAGTTTCTTGGAGTAATTGCACTACTCATCTCAAGAAACCATGTTATAGTGTCACTGATAGTAAGAACAGCAAGACCTTGTCATAAATTCTGGATAAGAGAAATGGTCTCTGGATGTCTGTTCTTAATTAATAAAATGTATTTGTCCATCTTCTAGTTCAGAATCACAAAATGCTTTCCAGAGCCCAAATTGCTTAAAACACTTTTTAGGCACTTATTACAAGATTTCCACCTGCCTCAGCAACTCCTGAACCACCAACCTCACCTCCAGCCTGGCAGTGATGAGATTAAAGCAATCTCAACTCAAGGACCTGATTATTAAGCAAAAGCAAAATCCTTTGGTTTGGCCCAGCTCCCTGGCTCCCTGGGCGGATAACTCAGAACTGTGCTCTACAACAATGCTGTGATAAGGGACCTGCTTTTGTTTTCATTTTAGCTTCCAGTCCCTCATGGAAGGATGCTTTTATAAAATCCAGTAAAAATAGGTAACTCAGAAAACGAAACGAAAAAAAGGAACATATGAAATACAGCCCCAATGTTTTTTCTTATATTCACTGGACATAAAATTACTTTGTCAAATTGCTGTAAGAGTTTCTAAACCCTTACACTCAATGTGTGTGCTAACCTCTTCATGGACCTGTAACAAACGGGTCAGAGTGCCACTGGTCTGTGGGCCCCACCCGGAGTGGCACTGTTCTATAGCACCACCCAGAGTTCTCCAGCGAGACTGAGCCCTGTTACCTACAGCAGTTTTCCTCAGCCTCTATTTGGAATCTCCCAAATAAAGTGTCACGTGTGTGTGTGTGTGTGTGTGTGTGTGTGTTATAGCATCTCACTCTCTCACCCAGGCTGGAGTGCAGTGGCGCGATCTCAGCTCACTGCAACCTCTGCCCTCTGGGTTCAAGCAATTCTCTTGCCTCAGCCTCCCGAGTAGCTGGGACTACAGGTGCCTGCCACCATGCCTGGCTAATTTTTGTATTTTTAGTAGAGACAAGGTTTCACCATGTTGGCCAAGCTGGTCTTGAACTCCTGACCTCAGGTGATCCACCGGCCTCGGCCTCCCAAAGTGCTGGGATTACAGATGTAAGCCACCACACCCGGCCTCCAAATAAAATGCTTTAGGCTCTGAAAATAAAACCTAAATAAATACCCAGCTCGGCCGGCCAGGAGCAGTGGCTCATGCCTGTAATCCCAGCACTTTGGGAGGCTGAGGCGGGCGGATCACGTGAGGTCAGGAGTTCAAGACCAGCCTGGCCAACATGGTGAAACCCCGTCTCTACTAAAAATACAAAAATTAGCCAGGTATGGTGGCGTGCACCTGTAGTCCCAGCTACTTGGGAGGCTCAGGCAGGCGAATAGCTTGATCCTGGGAGGCGGAGGTTGCAGCGAGCTGATTGAGCCATTGCACTCCATCCTGAGCAACAGAATGAGACTCCATCTCAAAAAATAATAAATAAACACCCAACTGAACAAACTGGACTAAAGATAGAGTAGACTAAGCAACTTAAAGCAAGCTATCAAAAGTGATGTTTGGCTACTCCTCCACCAATCCTGCATTGCAAAACTCAATCCTGACAATCCTACTGAAGGAATAATGGATAAGTTTATTACATATTTGTTTGAGTAATGAGCGGCCCCCACTGGATGTTAAGCTCTCTACAGGCAGACACCATGCCGGTTTCATCCATCACTTTATCCCTAGCCCCCTTGAGTGCAGAAGCTGACACATAATAGGAGCTCAGAACTGTTTGCTGAATGAATGAATTGTATCATCTAAAGATGCATTTTTTTTTAACCAGGTAAGGTGGCTCACACCTGTAATCCCAGTACTTTGGGAGGTCAAGCGGGGCAGATCACCTGAGGTCAGGAGTTCAAGACCACCCTGACCAAATAGTGAAACCCTGTCTCTACTAAAAAATACAAAAATTAGCCAAATTGCCTGAACCTGGGAGGCAGAGGTTGTAGTGAGCCAAGATCGCACCACTGCACTCCAGCCTGGGTGACAGAGAGAGACTCTGTCTCCAAACAAACAAACAAAAAAAGATGCTTTTTTTTTTTTTAAGATGGGGTTTCACCATGATGGCCAGGCTGGTCTTGAACTCCTGACCTCAGGTGATTCACCCACCTTGGCCTCCCAAAGTGCTAGGATTACAGGCATGAGCCACTGTGCCCAGCCAAAAGATGCATTTTTAACTCCAAGCACAAAAATTCATCTTCTCAGCTTGACTCTTCCCCCAAAGATAGCTGATAA